GGAATGCCAATTGACTGGCATTGGCTCCATTGAAATACATTACAGTACAAGTAGAGCTGCAATAAAAATGCAGAATGGATTTTCCATTAGGGTCTCTGGGCCCAAATACACTACTCTCTGGGAATGGAATGAGAGCCTACGTAGTGGAATGACAGCCCCTAGGAGTAACAGAAGTGTTCTGGGACGAATTGAGAGCCCACTGAGTGGAATGACAGCCCCAAGGTGAAACAGGAGTGTTCTGGGCCTGGGATGACAGGCCACGGAATAGAATGACAGCCCAAGGGTGGAGCAGGAGTGTTCAGGGACTGGAATGAGAGACCAAGGAGTGGAATGACAGCCCCAAGGTGAAACAGGAGTGTTCTGGGCCTGGGATGACAGGCCACGGAGTGGAATGACAGCCCCAGGGTGGAGCAGGAGTGCTCAGGGACTGGGATGACAGCCCCAGGGTGTAGCAGGAGTGTTCTAGAACTGGAATGAGAGACCACGGAGAGAGACCACGGGGCTCGCCAGCTCTGAGTTGGGAAATACCTGGAAATTTTTGCGGTGGAGCTTGAGTGGTGGATGTTGCCTTCTGACACACTTCCGTTGATGTCAGGGGGTGTGGCATATGCTAATGAGTTATGCTAATGAGCTTCTGCAGCTCTTTTGCTACGAAAAGACCCCTGATTAGATGTAATTGCATTGCTATTGTTTGGCTTTTAAAAGCTTAAAATTGCAGCTTTGGCTAAGTAACGAGGGTGTTTATATTATAGAATGATCCTGTTTTCTCTTTCAGCATCAAATTCTGGAAATACTACAAAATGCTGCCTGCATCACCAAAGCTGCCTATGAGCTAATAAGAGATCATAGCCTTTTAACATGGCTGTTGTTTATTCTACAGAAAAGGTACCTAGAAGGCTGAATTAATTATTATAATTATTTGTACATTTAAAGTGGGAAAATGACTGAGAGAATGTAGTGCAGGATTTTTCATTACTGTTTGCAGTATTGTTCCCCTCATCTTTCCAGTTAAGTCAAGGTGGCTGTGTATAAATTTGGCCTTTTGAAACTAGTTTATAAAACAAGTTCTGTGCTTGTAATGTAAGTCTGAGGATTCTTAATGCAGGGTATAAGTCACTTAACCCATTGTGTTTATAGCGGAAAGCATAAGAATAGGACCATGGCATGGGCTCTCTCAGCTTTTTCCCACAGATTCTTTCCCCAGAAGTCCAGGTTCTTCAGGCTGCTATCCAACACAGCACACTGTTTAGCTCAGTGCTGGCCTTTCTCACAGACACTGGTCCTGGGTTCACTGTTTGTTCAGCAAGTCATTCCCTGTCACGTGGAGGACTAACTTCTGTCTCTGCTGCTGCCATCCAGTGAAGTGGAGCAGAACAACCCAGTCTGTTTTCCAAACATTCATTTTCCTGTAGTCTCTGGATGTATGGTGCCATGGTGTTGTGATGGCAAGTCTGGGACTTTGGGCAGATGGAGAAAGGGACCCTTTGATAGGTGAAATACCTTGAGGTTGCCTAGGCCAGTAAGGAGTGATCAGGATGCAGCTGGTACATTCCATGTTTTCCTGATGAACTTGGAGAGAAAATGTAGAGAACTGGCACCCAATGTTCTCTCTAAGCTGTGGAGTCTTGTGAGCAAAATCTCTAGTTTGTGAGCTACTGGCATTAAAGTTATGAGCAAGTGATTGGGCTACTGCACAAATTAGTTTGCTCTAGAGCCATCCTTCCTGGACTAAGACAAAAATGTGTGAGCCAGAGGCTAAAAAATTGTGAGCTACCTCACACTAATTCAGCTTAGAAGGAACACTGCTGGCACCCCATCTACTACAGGAGGAGAGCATCAGCCAGGGAACAATGTGCAAAGCCTGCTCTGTAGAGAATTTTTGGCACTTGGTGTTTCATTGGAAGACTAAGGGAGCCACCTCTAGAGTATCCCAACAGCTGAAGTGGTGTATGTTTTTCAGGGACCATTCATGTTAATCCCCTTGTAACAACTGGGGTGATGTGTAGCCAAGATTGTTGTGAGTTGGTGGATAGTCAGGGTTATATTTAAAATAGGTTTAATTAGGCACTGTTCTAAACTCCATTACTATAAATGTTTACGTTTTTAATATTCTTGGGTGATTTTCTTACCCTGGTTGCATTTTTGTTCACAGGATTCATAGAGAAGTGGCTGTACTATTTTGTCCTCTTAGGTCATTCTCACCTGTATAATAGTAAACAATGTCCCCAAAGTATAGCTAATTACTATATACAGTTTGCTTTCTGTAAAGAAAAACAGCTCGCAGGACACAAAACAACCTCAAAATTGGGGGATCTTTTTACCTCAAGCCCATTTAATGTATCAGGTTTAAATTACCGCATGAGTTTATTAAGAAAACACTGATCCAGGAAACCGTTTTTAGTGCTCTGGAGAGATATAGCCCTTGGTAGTGGTCCTTCCTGATAACCTGGAGAATATTTACTTCACAACAGAGAGAGATGTTTTTGGGGTAGAAAATACCACAAGATACAAACATGTGAGATTAATTTTATATGTTTTTCTTTAAAAATTATGAATGTTTTAGTTTTGTAATATCTTCAATTCAAAATATTGTTTCAATTTTTTAATAATTTTGTAAAGGGACTTATTCGGTATACAAAAGGAGATGGGTGGATGTATGCAAAAGAAATATCTTGCCTCACATCAAACTGGATTTTCAAGCTCTGGATGTTTTAGTACTGTGAAACACAATTATTTCTGCCACCCAAAGCATGCTTTTTTGTGGGATTTTTTCTAACACAAGATACATTGAAATTTGTCTTGGAATAGAAATATACCCCAAATATAATATGTGTAAAAAAATTTGCAGGGGTGTTAAGAGGATTAGGCTTTCCGTTCTGCACAAATACTTGTATGTATGTTTCATGTGTGTTTTTTAATTTATATTTTTCAGGTTTTTAGAAAACAAGATGTTAAACAATATAATCTTCTTAGTCCATACCCTTTGGGTTACGAATTTAGGAGACAAACAGAAGTCACTCCAAATGCCTTGTGGACTAGAGAAGCAGAAGTTCCTGCCTCTCCAACTTGTCAATGAATTTCTGCATGTTTTATTAAAGTTATTGAAACACATCCGGCAAGTATCACTCTGTTTTTAATGGTGTCATGTAGTTGTGTTGCTATTTGATACTGTTAAAATAAATGCTAATACTAGCATGAACTATATATAATCTCTGATCAATTAATCTTTTGCTCTTACTTGTGAATGGCAACAAACCACCATCCTTATTTATTTAGAAAGTTTTGCCGCTAAGTAACTTGCAAAGGTCTAAGTATCTTACTAATCATATTACTGTTACACTCTTAACCCTTTTCAACTCAGCGGGACCCTGGCTTCCTGCTTTTTCTGAGCATTAACTGTGGAGAATTCTGTGACAAGCCCTTTCTATCAACTGAGGGGACCCACACAGTCTCTTATGATTTTGGGGGACCAGGTTTGTTTTGAACTGTAAACCTGCCCCTCAGTTACAGAATGTTCTTGGGATAACAAGCGTAAAGGCTTTGGGTTCACTGCTTGAGGTAAGTTTTGTAGTGGGCAAGAACACGGAGATCACTAAAGCAGGAGTTGTATGTAAATAACAAAGATTTATTTATTTACAGGCTGTTTTTAACGAACAGATCAGCAGCTCATGTTTCCAGGCAGTAAAAAAAGAAACCTGGCTGAGGCACATAAATTTAAGCTAGTTATGGCTTCAGAGTGTGGTTTGAATTCTCTTGAATGCTTACAGATAGAATCAGGCTTTCACTGGCTAGCCACGAGATTGGATCCTTTCACCCTCACGGGATTCCACCCACACCAGCCTGAGACAGAGTAAATGGTACCAGCATGGTGACAGCCAGCATGGTGTAGTGGTTAAAAGCGTAGGACTCTGATCTGGAGAGCTGGGTTTGATTCCTCACTCCTCCAGCTGAAGCCTGCTGGGTGACCTTGGATCAGTCACAGTTTTCTCAGAACTAACTCTCTCAGCTCCACTTACCTCACAAGGTGCCTGTTATGAGGAGGGGAAGGGAAGGCAATTGTAAGCTGCTTTGAGACTCCTTGAAGTAGAGAAAAGCAGGGTATAAAAACCTACTTTTTCCCCTTCTACAACAAGATCTGCTCATCAACAGAGAGAGGCCTAACAATTGGGTAATCTATCCTCTCAGGTATGAAATTAACCATCATGTTGCTTCCTAACAAACGAAAATTGCGTTAAAAACAACAGCTTGAAGCTTAAAATTTTAGCTGCAGTTTTAGTTGAAAGTCTTTCTAGAGTAATGTTAGATCATGTAAAAAACAATTAAAATTCTTGCCATTTTCTGCCAAATAGTGCCAACTTGGATTTTGCCCAGCTGACTCCGTTTTTCAGCCTGTTAAGCTCCATATTGGAATACCGTGCGATGGTAATTGAAGCCTTCAAAGAAATGGGCAGATTCACTGTGAATGAGCATGTTTTGTCCAACAAAGATATTCTGTTGCTCCTGCACAAGTGGAGCATAATTGGCAAAGATGTGAAACTTCAAGATGATCTGCAAACAATTGCTCAACAGTACCAAACCAAAGAATTGCTTAGTAAGTTGAAAACATATTCTTGGTCTGTATATTTTTTTACTGAATTTTAATTTTATGAAATACTTCTGAGAGCTTCTGAGCCACATTCCTAAGAACATAAGAAGAGCCCTCCTGAATCAGACCAGATCTAGTCCACCATTGGTATTCAGAGGTTTAGTGCTCTGCATACGGAGTCATCATGATGAATGGCCATCGCTATGTCCACGGGTAGTGACAGTGCCATCCTCAGCACAATTACACCCTTCTGAGACTGTTGAAGCTTACCTAAGATGGCACTGTTAATTAGTTGTTGAGTGAAGAATCACTTCCTTTTGTCTGTCTTGAATCAGTTGCCCATCAATTTCATTGGGTGTCCCTGAGTTCTAGCATTTTGGGAGACCTTTGTGCTATCAGATCTGGTGGGGGAGGGATGACTGAGGAAGAACTTGGAGACATAGTGTGAGTCCAGCATATGAGCCATCTTGTTTCTGAAACTTTCTTCTTTAAAAAAGAGGAGAAAAATTGTTGAATTGTTACTGTTAGTTTAAAATATTTGAGAATGAAGGTAAATATTTTTGGTTGGTGGCACTGAAGCCAGTTTGTGAGACAGTTTGGTGTAGTGGTTAAGTGCGCGGACTCTAATCTGGGAGAACCAGGTTTGATTCCCTACTTGCAACTGCTGGATGACCTTGGGCAAGCCATAGTTCTGACAAGAGCTGTCCTTGAAAGAGCAGTTCTCTAAAGAGCTCTCTCAGCCCCACCTACCTCACAGGGTGTCTGTTGAGAGGAGGGAAGGAGTTTGTAAGTCGCTCTGAGACTCCAAGTGAAGGGTGGGGTATAAATCCAATCTCTTCTCTTCTTCTTCTTCTCTTCTGAAGTCTATCAATAGCTACTAGCCATGGTGACTGAGGGGTACCTCCACATTCAGAGGCACTAAACCTCTGAATCCCAGAGCCAGGAGGCAACATCAGGGGAAGGCCTCAGCCTCTATACCCCATTGTTGGCCCTCCAGAGGAACTGGTTGGCCACTATGTGAGACAGGATGTTGGACTATATGGACCATCAGTTTGATCCAGCAGGGCTCTTCTTATGTTCTTATGACGTAAAATCTGTGAAGTTATAGTGATATGAAGACAGTTGTTAGCTTAAATTCAGATGTTTTCCAGAAGAAATGTAGGATCCTTGTCTGGGGTGGAATGTTCAGTGATTGAGTTAGGGATGATGAATTGGGATTTTATGGAATACTTTTTAGAATTTCTGAGGCATTGGTTTAAGATTTCTGTAATCCTAATCCTATTGCTTCTTGTCTCATTTTCTGATTTCATCAATTTAAACTGTCTAATCTGTCTCAAGTCTAAGTGAGAAAGATGCATTATAAATAAAGGAGGCTGAGTTTTTAACCTGATACCTCATAGTTGATAAGCATAAGCCACTGGGAATTTCCCTTCTGCAACAATGTACCATTCAGTACATTAAGGTAAAGCCAGTCGAATCCAACTCTAGGATTACGGTGCTCATCTCCGTTTCAAAGCCGAAGAGCCAGCGCTGTCCAAAGACGTTTCCGTGGTCATGTGGCCGGCATGACTAAACACCAAGGCGCACGGAACGCTGTTACCTTCCCACCGAAGTGGTACCTATTTATCTACTTGCAGTTTCTTGCTTTCGAACTGCTAGGTTGGCAGGAGCTGGAACTAGAGATGGGAGCTCACCCTGTCTTGCGGCACCCGGGTCTTGAACCGCTGAACTACTGACCTTCCACAGCCTGCAGTTCAGCGTCTTAACCATTAGTTCTTAATAAATAAATAAATACACGGTTCATTCCCACTCTTCAAAAACTAACACATTTCATTGTGTCATCATCTAAAAAAGATTTATTTATATATATGTTTAATTTGATTTCTTCCACTGCAGAAAATATTAAAGAAAAAAACAAACCACAAGTACCTTTTCGAACATCACAACACCAGAAGAAGAATCAGACTGAAACTGACCAAGGTCCAGCTTCTCAGGGCAGCACCTTTGATTTAGAGGAATGCATATCTCCCCTGAGATTGGTCCTGATGCACTGGGAACCTGTGTTTCCAGATATTTCAGCAGAGTGTTCACAGGAGCACAATGGATATGGCAATCCTGGTCTTGCATGCAAGACTGTTTACTTAGTATTCAGATGGCTAGTGAAGTCCCTGGTTGACAGAAGCTCCCACAAACAAAATATACTTTTGACTTTCAAGTGGTTTAAAAGCTACGTTTTGCCAAACACCAGCACAGTACAAGAGACCATTATGGATGGAGCTCTGAAAAGCGGTATATTTAAACTTTACCGCAGCCTCCACGATGCCACTGAAGAGACTTCAGACCTGAATGATCTCTACCTGCTTAATACTGTCATGCTTCACCTAATGGATTCTCAGGGCTTGATGGAAAATGAATATCTTGGGACACTGAAAAGATTCTGCTTCTCTGCAATGGAAGAGAATGACACAAAGAAAAAAGGTAATGTCTCTTTTCAGCAAGAAGGCAGACGGGAAGCTATGCATATAGTGGACTTTCTGCCCCATAAAACTTTTTAAAGAAAATTTCTATTTACTTATACTATAGAATTAACCAAATATATAGAACAGAGGATCCCATGATTGTTGAATCTTTTGGCCCATAAAATATTTTTGAAGGCTGAGTCCAATAACAGAAATGTTGGGAAGTTCCACAAAATGTTAGGGGTTCCAAGCCAGGATGTTTTATATGATGAAGGCAGCAGTTTCTAAATAGGTGATCCTGGCAGACACAAAGTCTTCCTGGGCTCTTCTGAAGTACCTCCTCCTCCAGTGAAATGGAGGAAAGACAGGACTGGCTCTTTGGTGTGCATGAGAAGCTAGGGCGCACCACAGGAAATACTTCAGAAAGGGTCATGGTGCCCATGACTAGGGGTATGCAATTTTTTTTTAGTTATTTTTCAGATCAGGTCTGTTGAACCTGAAAAAAATCAGGATTCCCTAAAAAATCCCAGATCCAAATACTGGTTTTCAGAAATCCCAAAATGTTTCAAGTCCATAGATCCAAGCCAAAAAAAATACCAGCCTGATCCTGGGGCTGGCTTGGCTTCGCCTGCAGTTTGGTTTAATCTGAGCTGCAAAAGAAGGCAGCTCAGAGCTGCACCAGCGAGGAGCAATTGATTCCCTGTGGGCACAGTAAGTCCCGGCTGGGCTGCCCCCTCCTGCCACTCAGCAGGAGAACGTAGAGCAGAGTTGTGCCTGCAGAGTGATAGGCTCCCCTTGAGCACAGCGATTCCAGCTGGGCTGCTCTCTCCTACTACCCAGTTTAAACTGGGAGGCAGGAGAAGGCAGCACAGAGCTGCGCCTGCAAGGAGCAATCAGATCCCTGTGGGCACAGCCAATCCTGGCTGAGCTGGCCTCTCCTACTGCCTGGAACTCTCAGCTGCCCACTAACCCAGCTGATCTTGGGCTGGGCATATCCAAAGTCGTGGGGAGCTCTCAGCTCCCTGCCACCCCAGCTGATCCTCAGGTTGACTTCTGCAGTCTCTTTAAACTTTAAAGGAACTGCAGAAGCCTACTCAGCAAAGAGCTGAGACGCAGGAGTAATCTGCTCCTGTCTCTTCACTGTTTTCAGATCTACCCGAAATCCCCAAATATATCCAGGATTTTCTTGGGATTTCCCCCCCAGTTTTCCTGAGAAAACCCAGATACATTTGGGAAGCAGAATATACAAATATATATATATGGGTCAGTAGATCCAAATGCATACCCCTACCCAACACCATGTTGAGGACCACCAGTATAGAACACTATTATCTAATGATACTGAAACTTGATCTGAGAAATTAAATAAACCTGTGCTAGCTAGATATGCTTTTGGGCAGAGTGTTGGTAGTATTAAAGTTTATGCTACTGATTTTTTTTCTGTATTAATATATTTTAACTGTATTAGTCATCTATTAAAGAAAATGGTAGGGATCCCTTTAATGAATTACCAGATTTTCAGTGTCATGGAAAATAATACAGTACATTTTAAAATATGCCAGGTAGAAGAACAGAAATGTGTTTTTACCTCCTTTCTTAAACAGAACTCTACTGACTATGGTTTTCTTATTTCCTAGCTGCAGGCATATTCCTTACATCTCTGTTTATTGGAGATATTTGGCTGGGAGCACAGCAACCAAATATGTTTATAACTCATGTTAAACTGATTTGTGGAGCAAATGACAGAAAACAAAACGATGATGTTCACAAAACGGGAGAATCTGAAGAAGCTATCGTTTCTCTGTGCAAAGACATTTATTCGTACTTAATTCTTCACAATTCCTTTGAAGTCTTAAATACCTGAATCCACTTATGATGGTTTCTAATCTATCTACATAGAGTCTAAGGGATTTTAATACTCCTGTACAAAATGTAAGCTTTGAGCAACCTTAAAACAATGCCATATATTGAACAGTGCTGGATTTTGAGAAAATATTTTCTATTACATTTTTCATAAGGTCTCAAACTCAAATGTTAAGGCTGTGTTATGTATTACTTCTGGTAAAGCAAGATGCTTCTGTCTTAAAGCTAATATTGATTGTTTCTGTATTAAAACCAAAATCAAAGTGGCATGGACTAAAAAATGAAGCATTGGTATAGAACACCCAAAAACTTTAAAACAATATTTTGGAAATTAAGGGGCTGGGCTTTCTTACATGTTCTGATTGTTTCAATAGAGTTTACGCAGAAAACTTGCAGATGCCAGTAGGGTGCTGTTATAGGTGAATATAATTTCTCAGCATTATTTAATGTGGGAACAGAGAAAAATGTACGGACAGGATAATTATTTAATATGATTATTGGCTTTAAGAATGTGATATTGAACTTATATATATATGTATTATATGATTTTAAAATAAAATATGGCAAAACACAATGTTTAAACCAGTTTTCCTTTGATATCACTGCATTCAGAAATACGGTTGTATAGGTGGCATTGTACTGCTGTTTTAATATTACTTTAATACCAGAGTGCTAGCCTGTGACATAGGGCTTACAATCTAAAGCTGTGTTGCTGGAAGAGAAGATACTAAGACAAAACAAAAATATATGCATTTATGTGTAAAATGCTTAGTATCAGTTTCTGGTCACTAGTAATTAACAAAGTCGTGAATTACCTCAGCTGTGTGGATCATTTGGTTACCAAAACTAGGGCATTCTTCACTAAAGCTAGGGATTTCAGGGGGGGGGGGTTGCAGTGGGAAGGGAGATCAGCAGAACCAGCCAGCAGAAGTGAAGAAGAGTTGGATTTATACCCCGCCCTTCACTTCGAGTCTCAGAGCAGCTTACAATCTCCTTCCCTTCTTCTCCCCACAACAGACACCCTGTGTGGTAGGTGGGCTGAGAGATCTCTGAGAGAATTGCTCTTGAGAGAACTGTGACTGACCCAAGGTCACCCAGCTGGCTGCACGTGGAGGAATAGGGAATCAAACCCGGTTCTCCAGATTAGAGTCCACCACTCTTAACTACTACACCAAACTGGCTCTCTGAAGTGCCCTTCTGCAGGTGAAAAACAAGGTATAAACTCAAGCTAATAAAATCAACAATTTTAGATTAAATTTCTATAAATGTGCATGCTTTGTTGAAGAAGTTCTATTAGGGTTAGGGAAACTACAATAAAAAAAGAAAAAAAGAAAAACATGAAAATAAAACATGAAAGTTCTATTTTTTGTTTTTTAAAGATCATTACACTAAGCAAACAGCAGCAGACCAATTATTACAGTCATAGCAAGTGGTAAGTAACTCGGCTATGACTGCTGCAGGACTAGGTGGCAGTCCTTGCTAACAAATGGCAGTATAACAAAATAAAAAGGGTAAACTGGCACAATCTGCTCAATTTCATTCTTGATTGGAACACTTGCCTGTGGTCACAATAGATGGTCAATATTTGACTAGCATGCCAATCTGAGTTGGTTAAGGAAAAAGGAAAACAGTGGAGGGGGTCTGCTTAAGCCCCTAAGAGCTTATCATATCCAGTAAGGTGAGAGTTGCATCTAGAGAGGGAGAATTTCTAAATACTTCCTCATCCCCATCCCCACAATTTCTCCTAGGCCACCAGTCTGTGCCATTCTATTTCTGTGCATTACTTAATCTTGAACCTTCTGTTTCCTCCACTTGGTTTTCTGCAAGGGTTGGTCCAGCATGTTTAGAAACCACATCTTGTGAGTGTTTATTTTTTGAATAATTCCATGGAAATGTTTTGTGTGGTCTTCCATTCCTGTGAACAAAAATTTGCTCAACTCAGTTTAAATATTCCCATAAACTATTACTTACTACCGGATTCCCCAAGAAAAAGATCAATAATGACTAACAACTCACCCACAAGAGCTTATCTGCCACTAATGTTCTTGCCTTGCAATGTGCACTTGTAAGGCAGCATGTTCTAAAGTGTAATATTGGGGTGGCTTGACAGACCAGCATAAACTGCCTTGAAAATTGTCATATAGAGAAATTTCATGGCGGATACACAGAAATTACTGGACATGATAACATCTAGAGTAGACTACAGCAATGTGCTCTATGCAGGACATCCCTTGAAGAGTGTTTGAAAGCTACAGTGGGTACAGAATGCTGACTGGAACGGGTGATGGGGCCATATCACTCCAGACGTTGCACTTACCGGAGCTCTCAGTCAACTTCCAGACCTAATTCAAGGTGCCAGTATTGACCTTTAAAGCTTGGGACCAACATATCTTAAGGACCACCTACTCCCATATGAACCTATCCAATCACTGTGATCATCAACCAGATTCAAGCACCTATAAGCTCTGGCTTTTTCATACAGTACGAAAAGCACCTTACTTACTTTATTGATGTGTAACCAGTCTGAGAGATGTAGAACAAAATAAAGAAGAGAAATGCCACAAAAGCAGCAAGTCCAATCCAAAAGGCTATAACGATTGAATCTGTTAAAAAAAAAAATACAGTACACAATATCTGGTTGATCTTAGAGCATTTAAAATGCGTTTTACAAACTGAATATTCTAGCACCTACAAAAGTCTTTTTCTCGTTTTGTACATGGAACACTGAACTACAGTGGAATGTACTTGGGAAGATAGGTCTCTGGGCAAATATACCCTTTCCAAAATCTTACATAAGATGGCTCTATTTTGGTGTTTCACACCTTTCACGGGATTGTCTTATGTGTTGAGTTGTTAGTCTGTCCATCTTTTACTCTCTTGTCTCTGAATAAACAAATATTTATATAACAATGCCAGCTTTTGAAAAAGTAAAAATTAGGACTGTTCAGATGAATACCAACATATCACTTTAGCGTAGCATTTACGATAAGTGGCCAATATTATCAGTTAGAATGTAATATGCATACAAAAGGCAAGCTTTCATTTAGTCCAGTTATTTAAAATTTCAAAGCTATTTATAACAAACGCAATAAAAGATTACATTTTAGAAACATGAAAAATATTTACTGTGTATTAATATAAGCTATAGTGTTAGGATCATAAAATCCAGTCTAGAAAGACCATTTTGCATACACGTGCATAGACTGAATGATCAGGAAAAGGCTGTAGCAGAAGGGGGGGGGGTGCTATTCTTCGTAGAGCTCCTTTAAAGTCAATTGTATTAGACTGGAGAAACTGCATAGGATTACACAGACAATCCAGCATCAGCTGTAAAAACAGCATTCCTCAGGCTGTCAGTACTGAAAACCTCCTAAAAGGAAAACTGCCTGGGACCTAGCCTAATCACATTTTAGGTGGTGGTAGAAACATGAACTCTGCGGGTTAACAGCTCTGTACAGTATTTTCAATTCCCTCAACTAAGTTCTTATGATAAACGTTTATATTTTAAATGGTTAGTTCCCCCCCCCATTTCCCCCCTAACTTTTCATCTCTGAATAAGATGCATGAAGTAATACTTACATCTGTGTGCCTTCAGCTTTGTTGCATCAACTGAGGCTAAATCTAGATAGCCCACATAATATTCATAAGACCAAATATAATCTTGTGAATTTGTTCCGTTAGCCATTTCAATAGTGCATCTCAGCCAGTTCAGAACTCTAACCCTAACATATACTTTCGTTTGCGTGTGCTGGCATAAATGGATTGCACAAAGTTGTAGATTATGTTTCCTCCAGGAATCCTCAAGGACTGCCTAGACAAGGGACACCTTCAGCAGCACTGAAGGTCACTCTATGATGACAGCTGATTGGTGCCAAAAACAACAAAAATTATTATCTTTTGTGTATGCACTATACATACACCATACTATACTATACATACTTAAGAAAGAGACTTAAGAAAACAACACACAGCCAAAATACAAAACAAAATCTTCACAATAGGTAACCAGCAACACAACCAGGTGTGGTGTGATTAAAAAGTTGGATTAGGTCTAGGGGAGGCCCAGGTTCATATCCCTGCTTACTATAAAACTCACCTGGTGACCCTGGGCCAATCATTCTCTCTTAGCCCACCGTATCTTATGTGGTAGTTGTGGGGTTAAAATGGATGACTGGAGAATCATATACATCGCCTTAGGCTTCTTCAAAGAAATATAAAAGTGTAATATACACTTCAGTGCTTAAAAGGACAGGCAATACTACTTAAAGCCCTGAACACACTGTGTACAGGTGCATACAAATGCATGCATATACACTGAATTCCCCCATGCCTTTGCACATTCAGGATAATTGGTATAGAGCTGAAGAACATACTAACTGTATGTGTCCAGGCAGAGTTCCTAGCTGCTGGGACACTCTGTCTACAATACATATACATTCCTTATGTTATGCTGATCACATGTAAGCACAGGACAAAGCTATCAGGTGCCCATCCCTCTTGTAACTCCTAAAACTTTTAATTCCTAAAATGAAATATTGCCTACCTCCAAGCTAAGGGCCTACGGAAATAACGAGCTAAACTATATTGTTTTAAATGCACACAAAACCATCCAGTAGTTTCCACTGTTAGGGTGTTCACAGATTCTTTTTTAAAGAGAGTGTATGTGGAATTTAACTACAGTCCTTTCAGAAATCGGCTCAACAGTCAGATCCTATGATGGTTAACTCAGAAGCAACTATTGAACTTACTCCCTTGTAAGGAAGCATCCCTAAAGTGCGGTTTTGACACCAATAACAGCACAGGGCGGCTTCGGGGCTCAGCCAGCGCTTCAGCGCTTCCCCATACCAAGGCAGGAGGATCGGACAGGCGAAGGCTCCATAACGTCGAAGCATGGAGAGTTGTGACGCAGGCGCCAAAGCCCTTCCACGGGAAAGACAGCAATAGAGAGCTTTTATTTTGCATCCTAGAGCGGTGCCGTCTGGCGTTTCTTTCTGATGCTGTCAGGGAGGAGGGGCAGAGCTGGGCGCGCGTAGCTTGAAACAGAACGGCCGCTCTGACGATGGAGGAGGCTTCGTTGTTGCTCGGCCTCTCTCCCGGTGGCCTTAAAAGCAGAGGAGGACAAGAAAGCCCTGGGTCGGAGGAGCTGCCCGTGGTGGTGTTTTTGTGCGCCGGGTGCAGACGGCCGGTGGGAGACACGCTCACCTGTGAGGCCAGCGACGAGGACACCAACTGCGTCCTGCT